CAACCGTACATTCAGAGGGACGCTTGTAAGGTTGAGTAAGTCATTACTGACAGGGCATTCTGGGCTGACGTGAAGAAGCTGCATTCTGTGTTGGAAGGGTCGTACGAAGTGTTGAGGATGGTAAACAAGGACATCCACTACTTGTTGCGGGTGTACGACGCCGCTGTAGACCTTAAGAACTGTGTTGCGGAAACCACACTCACAGATACTGAGCGGGCCAACATCCTGTATGATATGGGGAAGAAGACAAACATGCTTCTCAACCCGGTTTATGTTGTGGCCCGACTGCCGACCCTCGATTGAGGGACATCACCGTTTTCAACAACGTGCAGTTGATGGCACAGTTCGATAGCGTGGTGGACCGCTTTGTGGGAAAGAAGGGGAGTCAGGAATTCGATGACTGCAAAGACCAGCTGTACGACTTCCAGTCCGGCAAAGGGATATTCAGTGACCCGACAACGTTGAGGAGAGAAGACAAGGACAATGCAGTGTTGTGGTGGGAGGCATATGAAAGTGGTAATCCGGAGATCAAGAAGTTGGCAATGAAGGTGCTTTTGATATGAACCACATCCTCTCCTGCAAAGAGGAACTGGATCACATGATCCCTTGTGTAGACAAAGACGAGGAAATAGTTAAAGCACAAGCGTGCAAAGAAGCTTGTGTACTCACACTGGAAACCCCAACTGAAGAGCAAGGGGGAGGACTCACCGAAAGTACGAGGAGGGTGGTTAGGGCTGGAGCGTGACTGGGTGAACGGAAATCTGGAAGGTGAGGCAGTTGGTATATTTGATGCGGCGGATGATGATGCATTCATGCATCAGGCCATCGGATGTGAAAGGGGCAGCACCAACATCGTTGTTGCTCGCCGTGCATTTGAGAAAAGGACACAGGGACAGAATGTCACTAACGAACTAGACGAGGAGGGCGACAAGGAAGTGGAGGAGGAGGACGAGGAGGAAGGGGACAAGGCAGATAAGTTCCCTCGCAAGGAGTGGAATGATGACTGGTCTGACTCGGACATGTCATGGACACGGTTGGAGGACATTACTCCTTGTATCCGTGGCACACGCTGCAGCGATCGAATAGCCGGGGGCAGCGCCAACACCAGAAGCACGAGGAAGTGCAGGAAGAGGGGTAGCATGAGGAGGAGGAACATGACGACGATCAGGACGAGAAGGAATAGAAGGAGGAACCGCAGCAACAACAGTAGGAGCACCAGGAAAAACAATACAAGGAGGAGCAACAAGAGGAGAAGCAGCAACATGAGGAGCAGCGACGCGAGGACCAGCAAGACTAACAGGGGTCGTGACAAGAGCTGCGTGCATTCTACGGTCCGAGCAGACCACCACAACTATTTGGTCACCTGGGGGCGAATGTTGGTGGCATGTGG